TGCAAGCGAAATGGATGTGGTCTATAAATAAATAAATAATAGGTCCTATTCCGTGTAAACAGGAGGGCCTGGCGAGATCTTGTCCATGGGGTCGCGAAGAGTCGGACTCGACTGTGCGACTGAACAACAACAACAACAACAAATTCCGTGTACATCAAAAATAATAATCTGCCTGGGGAAATAGTGGCTAGATTCTCAAAGCGACACGTGATGGATTCTATCCTGAAAGCAACTACAGGAACACCCTTGAAAATTGGGGACAACACTATCAGGATTCTAAAAGACATTCCATTTGAAATAAGACAAGCTCAGGCCTCACTGCTGTTTCCCCCCTCCCCCTGCCGCCTCGCTGCTCTCTTCCCCCCAAAGCAGCGGCGGCGGTGAGGGAGTTCGCAGAGCGTTCCCTGCGCATGCGCAGGGGACGCTCTGTCACTTTTGGGGGGATTTAAGTATCCCCCCGGTATTTTTTCCGGGTTTTTAGATTTTTGTGCACACCTGGGGACTGCCCCAAGTGTGCACAAAAATCTCCCTCCCCCCCAGGTGCCCCCGATGTGCGGATTTAGGTATCCGCACACACGGGGGCGAGTTCGCTATTAGTATATAGATAAGACAAAATGAAGGCTGAAGGACTCTGAAGTGTGCCTTTAAACTTTAGTTTTACTGTGGGATGCTCTGGGGGTTCTCTTGAATGGTTAAAACTTTGGAAAAAAAGATAAAAAAATTACTATAGCCGACTATGATCAAAGTAATATTAGCAATTTAACATTTATACAAGCTGTTGTGATGATCTCCTATTCTTGGGGTTTTAGTTAGTTGTGGTTTTCTTTCCTTTCTCCCTAAATGTAGTTACCCCTTCCCAATTTTTCATTGTAGTTTGTAGTATATTTAAAAAATGCAATAAAAAATCCCCTCCGGGGACCAAAAAAGAAGAAGTGATTTAATGTAAATTTGGATGCCCATGTTTTCATAAAATGACAGCATGCTGCATATTATATAGATGTAAAACTTGTTTGCAGTACCAATGACATCACTATAGATAATACGGTTTTTATACTTCCTGCCACACAACATACAAAATGAGCTTCCCACAATTCCCATAATGGTCCAACATACTTGCCTGCTTACAAATGAAGTTTCTATGACTGCACGTTAGATTGCCAATTATAAGTATTTAATTTCCACGTACATTATATATTTATTTATTTAAGTTATTTATAGCCCACCTTTCTCACAGGGACTCAAGGTGGATTACAAATAGTGAGCCAACAAAATAGGTCATTCAATAACAAATGCATTAGGATTTTAGAAGTCTGGAGCCACCAGTAAGAACTGAGGCATAGCATAAGGATTAACACAACCTATTAACTGGTACAGAGATTACGTAATAGGATCCTACACACAGCAGTACAAACCACAGTCCCAATCACTTATCCAGGTAAGATTGTAAACCATTCTGTATATTGCAATCCTATCACCTTCACAGAAAAGCTGTCTTCAACAGTTCAGTTTTGCATAGTTTGTGGAGGGCCAAGAGACTGGGAGCTTTCCCGACTTCCTCAGGCAGGCCATTCCACAATGCAGGAGCCGCAGTGGAGAAATCATGTGTATGGGCAGTTTTTGATTTTGCCCACTTGCAGGCTGGCACCTTGCAGAAACTCCTGCTGACATGAGAGAAGTTGTCATGGGAGAGGGGAAGTTCTGCAAACAAGAGAGGTCAAGGCCATGAAGGGCTATGTATATTAGGCAATACCTTAAACTGAGCCTGGTAACAAATAGGCAGCCAATGGAGCATCTGTAGAATGGGAGGAATATGCATGCTCCATCTAGCTCCCACTAACAGCTGAGCAGTGGCATTCTGGACCAGCTGGAGTTTCTGAGTTGATTTTGAGGGGAGACCAATGTACAGTGCATTACAGTAGTCTAGTCTCAGTGTTACTGTGGTGTAGATCTTGGTGGCCAGGTCAATCATATCAAGGTAAGGAGTCATCTTACGGGCTAGGCTGAGTAGGCAGAAAGCCCTTTTTACAGCTGCATGAACTTGCTTCTCCAGTAATAAAGATGGATCCAGTATGACCCAAAGGTTTTTAACCAAGTCAATGGTCAGTTGAACTCCATCAAAATTGGGGAGAACAATGTCCTTCAAGGCCTCTGCCTTCCCAACTAGCATTACCTCTGTCTTTTTAGCGTTTAGTTTCAATTTGTTCAGTTTTAGCCAGTTAACCACCACAGCCAGGCAGCAAGTCAGTGCCTCTACCATATCACCAGGAAATTTAGATAAGGATATATAGAGCTGAGTATCATCAGCATATTGATGACAACCAATCCCGAAACTACAAAAGATTTGTCCTAAGGGCTTCACATAGAGATTAAAAAGCATGAGTGATAGAACTGCACCCTGTGGAACCCCATAGGATCGGTCCCACACCAATGACAACTGGCTTCTATCAGCAACCATTTAAGTCTGATCTGTGAGGAATGATTTGAACCAGTTCAACACACATCCCCTGATATCTACTTCTGCCTCCAGGCTCCTCAACAAGATAGCATGATCTACTGTATCAAAGGCTGCAGATAAATTCAAAAGGAGCAACAGAGAGGCTTGGTCTTTGTCTAGACTCAGATGGAGGTCATCATCTAAAGCTAGCAGAGCTGTCCCATAGTCAGTCCTGAAGCCAGACTGAAAAGAGTTTAGAGCAGATGAGTTACCCAAGAAGACCTGGAGTTGGTTTGCTATTGCTCTCTCAATCACTTTGCCTAGAAAGTGTAGATTAGAGACCAGGCAATAATTGACCACATTGTTTTTCTGTAAGGGTGGTAGGGGTAGTTTTTAAAGCAATCGACATATAACTAGCTTTATGTATTCCATATAAGTATTCTAGACTTCTCAGAAGCTTTCTGTACCATCATCCATGATATTCTCCTGGACTGGATGGCCAGGCTAGGTCTGAGTGGTATCCTTTTGTAGCAGCTCCATTCTGTTTGGGAGGGTATGTAGGTCTACAGATGTGTGTTATGAGACTGCTGTGGGACTACTGTTCCACTATGGTCTCTGAACTATGGATGCTGCAAGGTTCTATATTGTCCCTTATATTGTTTAGCATTTATATGAAACCACTGGGGGAAATCACAAAAAGGAACTAGTTTTGTTGCCATTAATATGATGATCAGCAAAAATATAAGCAGAATTACACAGTGAACTAAGAACACAAACAACATGATGACACCAAGTCCTAGGACTTATTTCCATCTAATCCCCGGAAGACAGTGGAAATGCAGGACTTGCGCGTGGGACTGGATGGAAGCAAACAAGCTGAATCGTAATCCAGACAAGATGGAATTATTCTTGGTTGGAAGCATGACTGCCCTGGGGGTAGGCATTGTGACATTGTTAGACTCCCCTTGAAAACTCAGGTTGGCAACTGTGGAGACCTGATGCTGATCTTGGATTGTAATGTTGCAGCTGTGCCAAGAACCATCTTTCACTGGTTTTGTTCTGTTCACCAGGTACAGCCCATCCTAGACAAGAGGGACCTGGCTATGGTGACATCCATTCAGTGACACCCAGATGGGACTACTGTAACATGATGTACACAGAGCTGCCTTTGAAAAGTGTTCAGAAACTGCAGTTAATTTAAACTGCAGCTGCCAGATCGCTGGTTGGGGCAAGCTGTAAGGAGCATGTAGATCCTACTTGGTTTCATCTACTTGCACTGCCAGTTAGATGATGGGCTCAAAGCTCAATTTAAAGTGCTGATGCCCCTAACATTAAGGAGTCACAGTATCTCAAAGAATGCGTTCCTTCTTATAGTTCTGGCCAGGTGCTGACATCCTCTTCAAAAGGTAAGAAGTACAGTAGGTGGTTACGAGACCGTGATCTTCTCAGCAGCAGTGGTGTGACTTCTGAATGCCTTCTGAAGGGAAAGCTCTGTCCCCTTTTAGCATTTTGCTACATGCTGATGATGGTCCACATTGAGACGATCTTTAACTTGCAGGCAATGGTGACATTTTATCACTTTTTAAAGCTAGTTGTCATTGTTTACATATTGCTGTTTTTGTATGGAATATAGTGAATTTTATGGTATGTGCATACTTATAACGAAGGAATAGCCCTAGAGATCCATATTAGATTCAGAAATGTGTTTCACACATCAATAAACAAATATAGTGAACATTCAAACCATGAAAACTCTTTAAACAATCCCAAAATTGTTGGCTGGTGAGTATCCAAATTAGGTGGTTGTGAATGCAGACACTCACTGAGTGATCGTTGCTAACATTCACTAATCTATTTCTATATTTTCAGATATTCATCAGATGCATGAGGGACAGTCAACATTAACTACTGGTAGTCTCAATGCTGTGAACATTTAAAAAGATGTGTTGCAGCAAATATTCGAAATATGCTTCATATTTATAGCCCTAGACAAATTTTCTGAATGCCTGAAAACTAATAATTATACTGGTGAATTTTGATTTGCACATATCCAAGTAATGGAGAAATAGATAACTATTTGGAGGCATTTGCAAAATTAACCAAGGATTGTTCATATTCGCATGTGGGTGTCAACATTCACTAATTCTGGGAAACACTGTGACATATAGAGAGATTGATTTTCATCCTGTGGATTATAAAACTAAACAAGAATGTCTTGCTCAATAACCACCTTATTCCATTGTTCTAGCTTTTAAATAAAACCAGTAAAATAAAACTTGTTGACGAGTACAGACTTAGTCATCTCAGTACGTCCCCATGGATAGTGTGGAATCTGACCCTTAACTAAGAATTAAAAATAGTTTCTTGACCTCTGAGAGGTACTGCCAAAAGCAAAACAAACAGGTCTAGGTGTGGGTCATGACTGCCCGAAGACATCAGGGTGCCTTTGCAGAAAAGAATCACCAGGGTGGTCCTGGTATAGGAAATGTTGAGCAAAACTGGAGGATCAAGTGACACTATGTTGCAAAGTTTGAACACTCAAATATTTTGGTTTTGAGTTTTTTACCTGCAAGATCTTCCTTTGAAGACACCAGTCGCGGAGAGCTGTTTCCTGGTTCAATTCTTAAGGACAACCTGGAAAACAAATATTGTGACATATCAGGAGTTAAACAGCTTAACTGAAAGTGGAAGTATCAGCTTGTTGTTAAACATAAAATGCTATCAGCTGAAAGCAGGAAGTCGAGTTTAGGTTGGATGTTTTCTTTTCTTCTTTCGACAAAACAGATGCACACTAGCAGTATTAAACTCTTGCCATATGAAGCCCAGCAGACTTTTTACAAGAGTATGCAGACCACTACTGGTGAGATATTTAATAGAATTTTTTTTAAAAAATTACATTCTACCTTAGGCACGAATGGAAAACAACCCTTCTTGTGGGTATGTCAGTTTGCCTGAAGTATTATGATCAGCAACTCGTGCCCTAGTCTCAAATTTGGTCCCCTGAAGTGGCCCTGAATTGCCAAAACAGAGGCAGAAGGGGTGTGTCTTAGAAGAAGCCCCTGGCACACCAATCTCCTCTTATTTCTCAAGGAGATCACTGGCAAGCCTAGTTGCTCATAAGGGCATGTAGCAACTGAACATGGCTGGAAGGAACATATTTCTTGAATGGTTCCACCCACAGAAGAGTGTGGTAGTGGGAGACGGAGAAAGCTACCTCTCTTGTTTTCCCTTCTTTTGTTCTCTCATATCCTCCAAGTCCTTCAAAACATGACCAAGTCTTTTAGATATTATTGCTTATTTACTTTCAAATTTTATATCCTGGTTTTCTGGATCAATTCATCTCATAAGATGTCTTACAATGGATTAAAACAATAAAAAAACAAACAAAAAAAAACAATACAAGAAGCTGGAATGTGGCCCCCGACTAATCTTTACAAGCCCAGAGGAACACCCCCACCCCTGTTGAAGTGTGCAAGTAAAGCAACAACCAATGAGCAGGCAGTCAGGCAGATGGAATGTGGCTCGTATCTTGGAGGCACTATGGACACACTATGTTAAAGCTGTTCCCCGGCTCTGTGTTGCTGCTACCCACCCCGATACCTTGTGATCAAGTGGGTTATTAATCAGAATGAATTGTTTTTTTAAAAATGAGCTCTGTAAAAAGCTGAATCTGAATGTCTTGGTTACATACGAGTATATATGGAAATGGGCCGTCCTCTGGGGTATGAGCTCCATGTGTGGTTTACTGAACAAAGAAAGGAGCTGAGATGTACAGTCAGAGAGTCTCTGGCATGTGCATTCCTCACACAATGCCCTACCCTACCGGATTAAAATGCCTGGTTTATGGTCCTCCAGAAGTGGGCTGCAAATTGGCACTCTCTGCTGAAAGTTATTTTAACCATAGTGAAGCCAGTGAGGCCCTATGCAGGCAAGGAAAGATGAGAAGGGAAATATGAATGCATTGTAACAAACAGGCATAGGTTCCAGAGTTGAAGCAGGGAGTGCTACAATATCAAAACATCCATGTACCTCTCCAAAACGAACTATGAATACTACCACTGTGGTGAAATCTATGAAAAGGATTCCCCCCCCCCATGAGGGAGGGAAGTAAGTCACTTCAATAGCATGAAACCCAGCCATATCCACAAGCCCACTTGCCAGTTACTTGACTACATTCTATTCCTCAGTTGAACTATTCTTGATGCATAATTAACAAATCCCAGAAAGCAGCAGAATGCAGTTGGCCATGTCTATCCCAAACCTCCATGCTCACCTTTTATTCTTCAACAGAAGGTGCATCACATTCACTACAGCAGATTCTACTCCAGTCCAGCATTAATCATTCTTTAATAATGTCGCTTCAGTTAACATTTGCAAACAATTTTAGTGACTTATTATTTCCTTCTTAATTGGTTACATGCAGGGCCCAAATGTAATCTTGCTAGGCCTAGTACAGATCTGTAACTACCCCTCCAATCTCTTGAGTAATGAATGGAAGATGTCTATTTTAATTCTGAAATTACAGACCAACTATATCAGGATGATAGGCTTGCAGCCCACATCAGGCCCTCCTGGACTACAGCAAAGTCCCCACCCACCCCCACCCCATTTGGGTTCTGGTCACGTTCTACATTTTTCCTGGGGGAAAAATTGTAACTATCCCATAACTTGGCATCACTTTCAGCATGAGAGTTGAAAGAGAATCAAATAATGTACACATATAGCAAATTTCTTGTTACCAGGCAAGGCCTGTAGAGATATTATGGGCCTACTGCTCTGAGACATTTTCCTGCTCATCAACAGTGGATCCACCCCCTTACCCCTGCACCAGGAAATAAAGACCCTCCAAGTAGTGTTATAAACTGTATTTGTGGATCCCCTTCTGGACGCCAACATGGTTTCCACCACCCCCTGTGGGTAACCCATGGTGATCAGCTGCCGCCGCTCAACCTCCAAGCAGTGAGGCTGAGCATCTCTGGACGAGAGTCAACTGCCGCCCCTTGGCTCAATAGATCCTCTCTCAGTGATCCTCTCTCAGTGGCAAACGCCATGGTTCCATTACTGCCAAACTTGTTAGGTCTTGGAATCAAGCCCTCCTTGGCCAGAGGGTTGCTACTACTATAACCTCTGCTTTTTGATCCACTACTCTTTGTAGCACCCTCTGCAAAAGTTGGACCAGCGGGAAGGCATACAGGAGTGCCCTCGGCCAATTGTAGTTCAGTGCATCTGTCCGTAGTGCTTTTTGACACCTTGTCCTTGACACAAATTGTTGCAATAGATCATTTTTGTCTGTGGCTAACCGGTCTACTTCCGCCCTTTCGAACTTGTGACAGATCTGTAGAAAAACTTCCCTGTTGAGTATCCATTCTGACTCGTCTATATTTCTCCGGATCAACCAATCCGCTATGGAATTGTCTTGACCCGCTACGTGAATCGCCTTCACTTAGGGGTCCCAAATCCCCCCGGGGGGCGGAATTCCCCCCGGTTTCGAGCCCCCATTCCCGCTCCCACGGCATCGGGGCCCGGGGGAAACCCCACCCCCGCGCGTGCGTCACCCGGAAGTGACGTCACACGCTGGGGGCGGGGGCGACGCCATTTGAGGGGAAGAGGACGCCATCCGGGAGCCCCCCGCTCCTGGATGAATTTCATTTGGCAACCCTACCTTCACTGACTGAACAGGCTCCTCTGCCCACTGGATCAACTGCTTTGCTTCCTCGTGCAGGGATTTGGATCTTGTCCCCCCCTGCCTGTTGACATATGCCTTGGCTGTCATGTTGTCCATTTGAATCAGGACATGATGACCCTCCAGCACTTCCCTGAACTGCACCAAGGCTAACTGATGGCTCTGAGTTCAAGAAAATTAATACTCTTGGCTGCCTCTTTCTGCGACCAAGTTCCTTGCTGTATGATGGGGCCTGGACCAAAATGTCATCCGGATAAGGAAATAATGCCACTTCCTGAACCCTCAGGTATGCCACCAAGGTAACCAGGACCTTGGTAAAGACTCTTGGCGAGGATTTCAAACCAAAAGGAAGGGCCCAGTACTGGAAGTGGTGTCCATTGTAGGCAAACCTGAGGAGCCTTTGATGTGACTGCCTGATCGGAATGTGCAGATAGGCCTCTGACAGATCTATCAAACACATGAAGACCTCTTGTTGTATGGATGACACTATGGATTTCAGAGTTTCCATCTTGAACTTCTTGGTTACAATTCTTTTGTTCAGCCACTTTAAATCCAGAATGGCCTGGACATCCCCGTTCTTCTTTGGGACTATGTAGAATACGGTGTATACCCCGTGTCCTTTCCTTGTGAGGGACCAGTTCCTGGGAATCTCTAGGAATTGGTTGGGTGGAAGAGTGTGGAACTCCAATGAGTACCCCTCTGAAACTGTGTCTAACACCCATCTGTCGGTCACCATTTGATGCCACCTTGCCACAAATGTCTGTAGGCAACCCCCAACTCCTCTGCTGGGGCCCCCGGGCCCCGGCATAGTCAGTCAGAGTTGCCTTTCTGGCGTTCTTTGTGTTCTGTTGTTTGTTGGGGAAAGAGGTTGTTCTATTTTCCCTATATTTTTGCTGCCACTTCCCCTTAAAGGAATTATTACAGCTTGGTTTGGAGTCCCTTCAATAATCCCAAAAGGATTGAGACCAGTTTTTGGATTTACCTTTCCTTTTCTTTGAGGGAAGCACTTTTTAAAAAATATATCTTCTCTGAGGTACCTCTCTAGGCCTTCCCCAAAAAGGTTTGTTCCTTTAAACAGAACTGCTGCCACCTTAGCTCTGGCCGAAGGATCAACATCCCAGTTCCTCAGCCAGGTTTTTCTTCTGGCCATCATGCTAGCAGCCATCGCCCGAGCTGATTGTTGAAGGGCATCCAAGGATTCATCTGCTGCAAAGGCCGTGGCTAAGGCGATCTTCTTAATCTTTAAGCCCTCTGGGGATATCACTGTCTGCTTTAGCTAATTCAGAAGACCACGCATAGGCTGCTCTAGCAAAGAATGATCCTGTAGCTGAAGCTCTAAGGAAATTGGCTGAACACTTCAAAATCCCTTTGCAGGGCTTGCTCAATCCTTTTGTCACTATGCTCTCTGGGTAGGCCATCAGCTTCCATAGGTAAAATAGAAGTGGAGGCTAGGCTGTTGATTGGACCATCCACAATTGGTAATTTAATCTTTTTTGAGGCTTCTGGAATAAGAAAATAAAACTTTGCGAAGATAGGGTGGTTAGCCTTAGGTTGGGCAGAGTGATCCCACTCTGCTTTCATGAGACTGTAAAAGGCTGCTAGTAGAGGTACCCGTACAGCTTTAGACCCTGTCTTGGGAATGGTTTTCTCTGACCCCAAAGGGAAGCCTGATTCCTCTTCCTCAGTTTCCTTAGGAGTATAAGTTAGTTCCAGTGTCCTCAATACCTTGGGTAACAATTTATTATATACTAGCCTGATACCCGTGTTTCACTACGGTATTTAAGTTCTGCAAATCCAGTTATAATACTGATGATGTGAAATTTGAAATGTGACATTTGTTGCAGGAATTCTAACAGAGAAGATCGTAGTGTAAGAAATGAAGTGAGACATACGTCCTTTTTTCTGTACTGACGCACCTCTCTCTAGACCACATTGCTGGTTCTGCCCTCAG